TCTTAACAATTGTGACACCAGGGCGCCACAATGAGATACTACTATACATCTACTAGAATGGCTAAAATAAAAAGACTGACCACACAAAATGCTGGTGTAGAAAAACTGGAAATATCCTATACTGCTAGTGGGAATACAAAATGATACAATCACTTTGGAAAACAAAATTTGGTTTGGCAGCTTCTTAAAAAGTTAAATATACAAATACTCTATGACCCAGCCATTCCACTCCCAGGTATTTACCCACGAGAAATGAAAGCATATGATCATGCAAAGACTTGTACATGAATGTCCATAGAAGCTTCATTTGTTTAACCGCCAACAACTGGAAACAATCCAAATGTCCATCAATAGATGAATAGATAAATTATAGCAAACACATACAGTTGAATACTACTCGGCAATAAAAAGGAATTAATTATCGGATGAATCTCAAAATAAATAATTACATTAAGTAAAAGAAACCAGACAAAATATAGGCAGTCCCCCCAAAATACATGTCAACTTGGTTAGGCCATGATTCCTAGTATTGTGTGGTTGTCCTCCATTTTGTGATTCATGTGATTTTCCTCTGTGTTGTAAATCCTACTTCTGTAATGTTAATGAGGTGGGATAGGCAGCAGTTATGTTAATGAGGCAGGACTCAATCTACAAGACTGGGTTGTGTCTTGAGCCAATCTCTTCTGAGATATAAGAAAGAGAAGCAAGCAGAGAGACAGGGGGAACTCATACCACCAAGAAAGAAGCACTGGGAGCATAGTCCATCCTTTGGACCTGGGGTCCCTGTGCCGAGAAGCTCCTCGACCAGGGAAGACAGACAAGGACCTTCCTTCAGAGCTGACAGAGAAAAGAAAGCTTCCCCTGGAGCTGATGCCCTGTATTTGAACTTGTAGCCTACTAGACTGTCAGAGAATAAATTTCTCTTTGTTAAAGCCATCCACTTGTGGTGTTTCTGTTACAGCAGCACTAGATGACTAAGACACCGGGTTATGAACGTCCGACCTATGTACAACCCGCAGTTACGAACCTGCCCCCATATAGTCTATTATATTAAAAATTCAAGATAGACAATAGCTCGCAATAACCAACGGGCACTATTTTATGACATGCATCAAAACATTATTACTGTATCTTTATGTTAAAGATATTTTAATGTATCTGGAAGTGTTTCCTTAATGTTTTTTATGCATAGAAATGTACACAGTATACTATATACTAAGACAAACATTTTACTGACTGACATTAAATACGAACCGTACCTGACTGTTCCAGCTTACGTACAAATTCGACTTAAAAACAGATTTAGAAACGGAATTTGTCTGTAATCCAGGGACTGCCTATAGATACAGGGATTACAGAGGGGGTGAGAAAACATTTGGGGGTGCTGGATATGTTCATTATCTTGATTTTTGTGATCGTTTCATGGGTCATATGCATCAAAATTTATCAACCAGTCGTCTTTAAATATGTGCAGTTTATTGTAGGTCAATTATATCTCAAGAAAGGTGTTTTTTTAAGTTTATGATATATATATTTTTTTAATGATTCCCTGCTCTAACCAATCTTTTGATTAACCAACCAACTACAGGTGCTAATGTGTCAAATAAGAGAGCTTCTACTCTTCTTACTCACCCCAAATGCTTCCAGTGTCCACTGTCTTCACAGCATCTAATAATGTTATCCATGCTCTTTCAGGAATGATATCTGCTCTTCTCTACCCAGCAAATTCCAGTGAGTATCCAGGAAATAATGAAATCTATACCAAATAAACAGCATCTCTTTCACTTCATATTCATTTTCATAAGGCTAGGGCTGTTTGATTGTGACCTCAATTATATCACACGACTACACAGGATCTTAGTAGAGTTCTAGTTGCAACTTATTCTGAATTTTATTTACCCATAAATTACAAACAGTGAATAAGAACCATTACCAGCAGTCACTATAATACAGATGATATACTCAAACAAACGTACAAAGCTTTTATTTAAAATTAGAGACACAAATACAAATTAAATAAGTATAATATAAAATATTTTATTAAGCCTTCATAAAACAGACCATAACCACTTCATATCATCTACTATTTCAACAACAAAATTAAAGGGAAATCTAATAGTCCACAATCAAATTATTTTTAAACTCTTGCTATCAACATTAAAATTATTATAAAACACTCAAAGAAATTTAATTATAAAATTAACAAAGCCACTACAGTGATTCCTGCTATCCACTAAATTCAATAATTAAAATTTAGTATGATTTTTTATTCATATACAAATAAAAAGCACCTCATTTTTAAAAGATAATTAATTTCTCCCCAAGGCTGTGAGGACTGCTTTACTTTTCATTTTAATATGGCACAACATGTTTGATCAGTGAAAGCAATCTCATTTAAAATGTTTAGAATGTTCTTTATAGACCCTTTCTGCTTCACTGCATAATGAGGGGGTCATATAAGTTAAAATATGACAATATAATAAATATTCTTTAATAAGGAATGTGGCAAAATAAAAATATACACTACACAATGAAGTACCTTATCCTTTTCATTATGAATGGGAAATTGATCAGACTTATCCTATATTTTCCCTTTTTACTGTGTATTAATTCTTCCGAAAACGGGGTTTTATATATTATTGTTATGAAACCAATTCTAAGAAATTGTGCAGAAAAAAAAAAAGTACCGAGAGATAGTATAATATCTTAAGCCTCTATTGTTCCTGAAATACTTATAAAAAGTGGAAATACACTTGTCTTGGGTAGATAACAGGAAAATACACTGTTATAGTGTTTATGTATTTAAAATAATCTAAAACAAATAAGAGAAAAACCCACACACAAGAATGGTACCCACATTATTCAATAATTAAGTTATTTGCATATATACAATTAATTGTGCAGATAAATGAACATTTTCCTAAAACATGCACATTATAAGGTCTTTTATAATTAAATTTATAAAACCAAACTAAATTGTGTATGTGTCAACTGTCATGATTAAAGTTTTCAGCATACCGGGAGAGTTTAAACTTTAACATCTGTTCTGTAAAACTGAAGATGAAACATAATTAAACTTAACATTTCACTAGAAAATTTTATACTTATTAGTAACCTGTCATACTCCTGTCATCAAATAAATTAACTCTTAGATGCAGTTGTTTCTAAATATTTAATTTCTACTATACTGTTCTTTAAAAAACATTCTAATCAAATCACATTTCTTAGAGAAAATTCACTCAGGGATTCGAAGGAATTAGTTATTTTCTATAAGCAACTCTATTTTGAGTGGTAGAGTTTTAGCTCTCTTAGAACTTTTTTCCTCTTTCCAAGAGAATGAAAAATATACGGACTCCCCTATTGACTTACTAAATGGAGAGATTAATAGAAAGGGTAAAATAAAATTTTCAGATACAATAAATACCATTTAAGTTTTCACAGTTTATTTACTACTAACTAGCTATAACCTTAGACAAATCACTTAACTTCTCTGTTCCTTAGTTTTATCTTTAAAATAAAGAGATTAGAATTATAATCTCTAAGGTTCCTTCCAGCTCCCCCATGGTATGATTCTGTGCTTCTACAGAAACTTCTATTAATATATTGAAATTTTCATAAATCAAGGGAATTGATGTGAAATAAAATAGCACAGCGGAACTAAACCACTCCTGTTAGAAAAAAACACTAAGACTGTGTTCAAAGCTCAACTTACCAAACATGTCCACACCCATTCCCTCTAAAACCAGACCAATCAATAGCCCATAGTTACCAGAATTTAGTTACATAAATCACTTTTAAATTATACTGTAAACCCATCAAAATATATTAAGACTATGCCACAAACTTCCTACATTCTAATTTACATTATTTTCATTCTATCTACATTCAAGATAATCTGTACAGTTAAGGGGCACAGGCTGCTTAATATTCTTGTACTTCAAAAGTAATAAAACAAAATACAGATGGCATAAAATTAATAATTCTGTCAATTTTTTACAAAAGTATTCTGAATAGTATTTATGGGCTAAAAGGAAATCCTGCTGATAAATTCTGATGTTCAAACAAATTTAGTTGTGTTTCACCATTTCTTGTTAAAGAAAGACAGGAGAGGATGTTAGCAGACACCTACGCAGGTTAATACTGAACAAGGACATTTCAGCAGCTTTTATGAAAAGTTAATGTACCATGAAGTAGCACTTTGGTACTAGTGCAGTGCAAGTTGGTTTTTCTTTGTCTAACTATGGGCAGCAAATGAGGCACTTAACTGTAAAATAGAAAAATAAGGCATATCTAAGAAGAAATTCAAAATCATTCATAAAAAGATAACCAGCATTACTCAAAAAGTAAAAAATTCAATTTTTATTTAACATGCATTCAACGTGACACGTGCTTTACTAGGGAAAATCCTTCTGAAGATAAAACTGCTGTTTGGGTTATAAGATACAGAAAACATTTCCTCTGCAGGAGATCCTGGATTTCTGAGAATGAAATCCAAGTCTTCTCAACCTGAGTGCTACATATTTATAAACCCAGAAAAACACATCTGACCAGACTTGGAGAAACATTTCTAACTATCAACAAAGTATAACATGTGATCCCTGATTTTATCCTTGAAGGATCAGAAGTTTTTATTTTATATAGCTTCAAAGAAGGGGACCTAGTGACGATAACAGAATTATAAGTAGATATTTAGCACCTAAATTTTTAGAGAACACTTAATTAAACATTGCCGTAGTTGTATATAACTGTATATTCATGGATTGGGGAAAATCAGTTACGTTGTTCAATGGTATAAGAACATTCTCAAAGATTAAAATACCAAGTTTCCAAAAATTACCCATCATTGGCAAATGCATCTATCTATAACATTCGAGCACAATCTTATCATTTCTTCCCGAACTTACAGATAAATATTCTCTTTACCAAGTAAAAAATAAGTGAGGTTTATATTTTTTCTTAACCATCACTAAACTGTATTCCAAATGTGGCATTTTTTCAGCATTTTAGACATAAAAGTTTTTTTTTTTTTTTTAAGAAAAAAAAGGGATGCATATTCTATCAGTAGTATTACTTTGAATGTTCTTCCCTATGGAGGCAGAGGTCAAAAGTGAAATGAATGGCCACAAACCTTCTGCTGAAATACACGAGCAAACACAAGCAGGAACAAAGAACATGAACATACATTAATTTCTGGAAACATATTGGCACATAAATGCTTATCTGCAGGGTAAAAAAAAAGCACTAAATGAAAAAATAATAAATGTTTGCTGCGATAATATCCCAAGTAAACGGAGTCTAGCATTTGCTTTCTTCACAGCTAAGAGAAATGTTCTTGTGCAGTCTAAGTAAGCCTGATTTTAAACCTGGGTGGAACACTTTACTTCGTATGTTAAAACTGATATATGATATTAACTCAAGTCTTCCATGAGACCAATTAATCATCTCCACTGAGAAATTTTATAATCTTACCTTTTCTTCCTGAATTTGCTCAAAAGAAGGCTTTCCTTACTCTTAAGGGAGGCAAAAGGCTTAAAAAACATGTTCTTACTCCAAGAAGACTGGATATTTTCAACAATTCATTATCCTCAAATTTGTCATTGTATTTAACAATTACATTCCTTACTACATAATTAATTTCCTCATATACAGAAGAATCAAAATTTTCTTATTTATATCTTGAAGATAAAATTTCCTATTTTTTTAAAGATATTCCAGTTTAATTATTTTTGAAATGAAATAATCTGAGTACATAAAAGAAATAAGAACATCACTGATGCAATTCAGTTGTTATGAAATAAAGTGCATATAGCTCTCAATGTAAATATTGTTTGGTACATTACAGCTAAGTAAAAGGCTAGCAAAATCAAAATGAAGACTCAGTTCATTATGTAGAATCTGGAAAATACCAGACAAGAATACAAACCCTGTATAAATAGTAACAAAATTGAGGGGAGTATTCCTCTCCAAAAAAAATTAAAATGAAGCAGGCAACTGAAAACATTTTTAAGAAAAGTGGATTTCTGCTTCCCAAGAGACCAGACACGCTACACAGTGATACCAACATGCAATACCTGAAATGCAGAATCACACTCTGACTGCTGCCCTTGAACTTCTGCATTTAACTTACGATTCTCTGGTGTCTGGCTGATTTCATCTTGCAAAGGAAGAGATAGGCCATGAGTCTCATCTACAGAAGCACTGTCAGACATGGCATCTAATTTTTCCGGGGAACAAGCTATATGAAGCTTACTATCTGCTATTTCTTCATCAAAATTTGTCCTCTCATCAGCATCTTCTAGCTGTTGAACCGAAGTTAAATACTGTTCAAGTAGACTATTATCCTGTTCATTGTTTGAGCTTTCCTTATTCCATTCATCATTTTCTTCACTAACATCCCCTAAATCTGACTCTCTGTCATATTTGACTGTGTCAGTGGAATTACCCATTATAGAACTTTCACTGCCTTCTGTGGAATTTTTTTCAAATTCCAAAGAATCCTGTAAACAATGAATCTGTTCTGTTAGGGAGGAATGAAAACCAGAGTCTGGAAATTCTGGTAAGGACTTCTCTTGAGGAGCTTCATCAGGAGCAATGAACCAGTCTGAATTTTGATCTGAAGAGGGCTCCTGACTCTGAGCGAATAATGGAGGTTTAGGTGGCACCAGGGTACTTGATTTAGGAACATCAGCATGCCAAGAACCGAGGCGCTGGTCCAGGGTCTGTTGCCAAGCTTGTAAAGACCTTACCTATAAATCAGAGGATATAGTTTTATTATAAAATGAGAAGCATGCCTGTTTGACAATTGCCCTTTGAACTTTTTTTCCAGCAGTCTTGAAGTTGGTAAATGGCAGAATCAGAAGTTAGAAACTGCCTACCTCCAAAGCCTTAGCCTTTTCCTAAACCAGGCTGGTGTAAGTGGTACATGACCTTGGTTACAAAAGGCTCTCACCAGGAGAGTGGGGATGGTCGAAAGCAATTCTCTTGCTTCTACAGGAAAAACAATTCAAAGCCCAACAGTACATATCTAGCTGACCAAGGGGCCAATAATGTACTGAATATGCACTGAGGCCTATTCAATACGATAGATTAGTGCCTATTAATGTAAGTAAATTCTCTAAAATAAAAGTGTCATTTTAGATAGCCACGTAGGGATAAGTTTTTAAACACTAACAATATAGTATATGCAATTCTCTAAAATATCTAAAAATAGTCCAAACTCTTGATAATATGACCTTTACTTTTAATATTCTTAAAATTTCAAACTGCAAGCAAAAAAGCGATATATAAAATTTTTTTACCATCCTTCAAGGTAATCACTGATAGTAGTTTGATACATATCCTTCCAGACCTCTTTCTATGTATTTTCAAATACACAGGGCTTTTTAAAACATGCGTGGAACCCTAAAAGACATATAGTTCTACAACTTACTGTTTTTCACCAAGCAACATTATTTTGGAGACCTTTCAATGTCAGTCCAAACTATTACCTTATTCTTTTCTGTCCCATATTATTCCATCTGGAAGCCTGGTGGCACAGTGGTTAAGAGCTAAGGCTGCTAGCCAAAAGGTCGGCAGGTTGAATCCACCAGTCGCTCCTTGGAAAACCAATGGGGCAGTTCTACTCTGTCCTGCAGGGTCGCTATGAGTTGGAATCAACTCAATGGCAACAGGTTTGGTTTTTTTCAGTATATTATTCCATAGTACTGTTATTCCATAATTTAATCATTCCCCTACGGTTGGTAATTATAAACCTTACAAATCAATAACTATTTTTTAATTTTGTGGGCCAAATCCTATCATAAGACAATATTTTATAAAAACATTTCCAAGAAATTATTAAATAATAAGCCATACTCTTCACCTTGAGGAGGGTGTTTAATATACTTGACCACTCTATGAATATCTCAATAAATCTAGAATTTTTTTTTGTTCACGTATTAGGTAAATCAGAAGGAGGGGGTTTACCTGGTTCCAAAGGAATCTGACAGCCTCTTCTTGCACAAATTTTTTAATACGTTCCTCATATTACAGAAGTATTTGACCTGACTTCAGAACCTGCTACACAGCTACAGTAGTCAAAACAGCCTGGTACTGGTACAACGACAGATACAGTGACCAATGGAACAGAATTGAGAACCCAAGTGTAAATCCATCCACCTACGGTCACCTGATCCTCGACAAGGGCCCAAAGTCCATCAAATGGGGAAAAGACAGTCTTTTTAACAAA